AACAGCACTTGTTTCATAAATGGGCATTTGATTGAGACAAGAACTTAAAATGGGATGTATCTTCCGGGATTAATGGTTCTGATGGAGGTGGAAGGGGAAAATGGGGAAGCATCAGACCACACCCACATACATATACACTTTACCCGAAAAACAGGAAGGAAGGGGGAAATTAATGCTTACTGAAATAACCAATTACAATTACTTTATAAAATAATACATTCTTTTATTAAAGAAAATTACTTTTGATGTTGGCAAAATAAACACCATTTACTGTACTGGAAATAGTTTAAAAGACTGCATAATGTCAACAGAAAGCATTCTTAGCTCCCAGATTTAAGTAGATTATATTATTATCATAAATATGAATCCCCATCTCCTAATCAACATGCCTTAGGCAGTTACAAAAACTTACCTGTGCAAATTGCATAGCGACATAACCCCATCTTACAGTGGGAGTCCTGAAAAAGAAAGAAACAAAAATAAGTTTTCTAAATAAAGTAAGAACTAGCATAAAGACTCTCCCTCACAATTAGTGTTTTTTGGCCAGGCGCAGTGGCTCACACCTGTAATCCCAGCACTTTGGAAGGCAGTGGTGGCCAGATCAGCTGAGGCGAGGAGTTCAAGATCAGCCTGGCCAATATGTGAAACCCTGTCTCTACTAAAAATACAAAAAAACTAACCAGGCGTGGTGGTGCACACCTGTAATGCAAGCTACTCAGGAGGCTGAGGCAGGAGGAATCACCTAAACCCAGGATGCAGAGGTTGCAGGGGGCCGAAATCGCACCACTGCACTCCAGCCTGGGCGACAGAGGGAGACTCCGTCTCAGAAAAAATAAATAAATAAATAATGGTTTTACACACAGAACATCATTTATGACCATATGAAATACTTTATAATTCTGTCAAGAATTACTATAATCTATTAGACTTCTCTAATCACATTTTTTTTTTTTTGAGACGGAGTTTCACTCATGTTACCCAGGCTGGAGTGCAATGGCGCGATCTCGGCTCACCGCAACCTCCGCCTCCTGGGTTCAGGCAATTCTCCTGCCTCAGCCTCCTGAGTAGCTGGGATTACAGGCACGCACCACCATGCCCAGCTAATTTTTGTAGTTTTAGTAGAGACGGGGTTTCACCATGTTGACCAGGATGGTCTCGATCTCTTGACCTTGTGATCCACCCGCCTCAGCCTCCCAAAGTGCTGGGATTACAGGCTTGAGCCACCGCGCCCGGCCTCTCTAATCACATTTAAGGCTTCCCAGGCCAGACAAAAAATGAAAACTCATTCTATATTTTCTATGTCCCTATATGGCCTGGCCCCTGCTTACCTACCCTGCCTCACTCATGCCACACTTCTGGTGCTTACCACATTTCTGCTTCATAATGCCATTACCTGGGATAGCTGTCACGGTAGATAAGGGTAGGAGCAAATAAGAAGTACAAATACTGGTTGACTGTAGGTATTGGAATAGTGCCTAGAAAAGGAAAACTATGGTTAGATCAGAGGCTCTTTGATTTTTCACAGCAAAAATAAAGAGGGGAAAATAAGGAAGCACAGAACAGGGAAGAATACAATAATTTATCAACTCATGTTCTTTTTTCCTGGTCTCCTGAGTGACTTCTTATTCTTGTACTAATTGAATATTACCAATCTCTTGAAACCAAGTCATTCCTGTGACTGAGATAACTTCTAGAATGTGAAGCAACAATTTGCAAAGAATAGGCAGGCACAAGTGTAATGGGGCTATTAACATTCCATAAAAATAATGCAAAGTTACAAAAGATGATCAATTTTTAAAAATTGTAGGTCAAGGGCAAAGCAGGAATACTCAGGAAACAAGTAGTCCTCAAAATGAATATGGGTCATATGTATTTGAAATCAAACACAATCTCTACATCATATAATGTGACATCCCAGTAAACAACAAGGGGTGAATATCCAGTCAATAATCCTCTAAACTAATGAAATTACACAAAGAAAGGAAAAGAGAGAGAAAGAATGAGAGAAAGAAATTACATACTAGATTTCTCCTTAGCTGAATTTAGTACCCGAGGCACGTTCTCTCTGACAAAGGAGTGGGCCTTCATTACAAAACGAATCTACAAAAGCAAGAGGAAAAAAAATGTCTGCTCAAAGGAAGTCTCCAGTAAGTGTCCCTTCTATTAGTCAAACACGTTGCAGCCAGCCAATAAAATCAGAAAATCCTGATGAGTAGATAAACAAATTAAAATAAATCCTTTACTTAGATGGAAATCGTTACATGACAAAACAATGAATCTGACATTTCAAAAGTGTTTTTAATTACAAAAATATTTTATAATTTAAGTGATTTTTACAAAAAGTATTCAGGAACAAAATCTTAATGCATCAAAAACCATTCAATGTAATTTACTTCATTTCTCAAAATTCAGAGAACATGGAAGCTAGAATGAAACTTAAGAGATGAGATGTTACTAGTTGAACAATTTTACAGACAATGACACCAAGAACAATATATGAAAATTTATTCAAGTTAATACAGCTAAAAATAATAGTATCAGTCTGTCATCATCATTATTATTTTAGCTGAGCACAGTATCGCTTTGGTTAACACTTAAAATCTTACCTGCTCGAATATAACGATGAACCGGGAAGCTGGTGGCAGTGTGTATGCTAAAACAACGTAGGTTGGTCCAAAACCTAGAACTCCAATCTGGAAGACCATGAAAAGAAAGCCATGGAAGAAGGAATGGATCAGTGGATGAGAACTCCTGCTGTAGCCAGTGGCCCAGCATTGAAACAGAAAATAGGGAACTGAAAATGTAGACAGGAACATGATCCACCAGGTCCAAACAACAGTAGGAAATTTGCCAAAAGCATAAGACAGGAGACTGAACTCAAGCACCAGCCTGGGGACAAAAGGTACAGAAAAAGAACATAGAGGTGAATATTTATACACACTGAGTTCACAGAATTTAAAACTTTCTAACACCAAACTTTCAACGTTAGGAAACACTACAACATTAATATGTTGAAGTCATGGATTTGTAATAGTTCTGCTAGACAGAGGCCTGCTTCTAACCCTCTGCTTCACAATATATCTCAACATATATCAACAGTATATACTGTTTAGAAACAAGTTTTCTAAAAGCCCTAGGATAAATACAGTCCTCAAACAAGATATCTGAGATAACTAGACTTTGAACTTCTGAAAGATTAGATTCTCACATTAATATTTTTAACTCTAAAATATTCTATGTAAAATATTCAAACAGCAATCATTCTTATGTACAAAAGATGATTTTTCAGAATAGGCACAATTAAAAAACCTGTTAATATACCATTATCTCAAAATTTAATTTTCAAAAATAGTACATAATTAAATCCATGATTATCATACTGTCATTTTTTAAGGTACAATTTGGTTTTAAAATTTTTATTTTGAGACCAGATCTTGCTTTGTCACCCAGGCTGGAGTGCAGTGACACAAACACAGCTCCACTGCAGCCTCAGCCTCCCTAGCTCAAGCAGTCCTCCCATCTCAGCATCCTGAGTAGCTGGAACTACAAGTGTGTGCCGCCATTCCTGGCTAATTTTTAAATTTTTTGTAGAGATGTTGCACAGGGTGGTCTTGAACTTCTGAGCTCCAGTGATCCTCCCTCCTCATCCTCCCAAAGTGCTGAGATTACAGGCATGAGCCCTCATGCCTGGCCTACAATTTGACTTTCATATTAAAAAGAAATATCAAATTTTTCAACCTTCAATTCCAATAAGCTACTTGTTTTAAGCAACCATCTTAAATAAAGACAATCAAAAGGTGAATAAATCATACGCAGTTATCCTTTCCTATACATGGGGGATTGGTTCCAGGAAAGCACGCAGACCCCAAAACCTACACAAATTCAAGTCCCACAGTTGGCACCGTAGAACCCACATATATGAAAAATCTGCCATTCTTACTATGTGTGTTTGCATCCTGGAATACTGCAGATCCCATCTGCCTTTGCTTACAGATGTAGAACCCACAGATACAGAGTGCTAAACATATTGACTGAAAAAATTCCGCATATAAGTGAACATGCACAGTTCAAACCTGTGTTGTTCATAGGTCAACTGTGTACAAAGTTCTCCCATTTTTATCTAGAAACTACTGATTATGGTCTATTAAAATAAACCATTTTAAAAATAAAAGTAATGAAATTTCTGATTTTCTTGTCAGTTAAACTTTTCAGGGCAGAGGACTATCACCCTCAAATCTGCTGCTTTAGGATTTCCTAAAGCAAATTTAACCAATTTACCCTTTACCAAAATTTGATGAAAAACCCGAACTTCTCATGCATCAACTAGGCAGCAGTCTTTTTTGTTGTCTTACCGTCCTTCATCAATGTAGTCTACTACAAGTGTGCTGAGGATAAAGAGAATGAGGAGGGCAATAAACATATGATATATTGTTCTGATGTGGTCCACTTCAAGCAGCTCACTGTAAATGTAGTTCAAATAAAACAAATTAATAATCTATATTTAAATTCAAAACACCATAAAGTCTTATACTTACCTTGCAGGGGAGATACCATGGTCACAAAACACTATAAAGTCTTTTCTTAAAGCAGTTTAAAAGATGCTTAATCCACTCTCCAAAAACATCTCAAAAAAGAGTGGTCTACATTCTTTAAAACCTACCAGAAATGGATGGTTTCTGGGTAAACAAAGATCATTCACTAATAACAGGAAACACAGAAACTATGTAAAATGCTAAGAATTTTTTTAATCCTATACATACATTCTACTCTCTAAATATAATACATATTAAGTACTATTTCCAAAATGTTAAAATTGACATGAATTTCTTTCTTTTATTTTTTTAAAGATGGAGTTTCACCATATTGGTCTGGCTGATCTCGAACTTCTGACCTCAGGTGATCCACCCGCCTCAGCCTCCCAAAGTGCTGGGATTACAGGCGTGAGCCACCGAGCCTGGCAAGAGCTTTTTTTTTTTTTTTTTTTTTTTTTTTTTTAGTAGAGACAGAGTTTCACCATGTTGGTCAGGCTGGTCTCAAACTCCTGACCTCAGGTGATCCACCTGCCTCAGCCTCCCAAAGCACTGGGATTACAGGCATGAGCCACCGTGCCCGGCCTAATTGACATGAATTTCTGTAATGTTGATCATGATGATGATGACCAACTACTACCCTACATATCTATAAAGCTCAACCATTTACAAATGGTTTTACCGTCTCCTCGTTGACTTTTGTATTTAAGACTGGTCTAATTTTAATTTGCTTTTAGAATATAACAAT